AACGGTCGCGTCCAACGACGGCTGCTCCGCCTTCGATACGTCGACTCTGCCCTCCTCTGCTTTTCCCATGTTTTAATAACAAATCTCTCTCGTAATTCGTGTTATCTTACGCGAGCTGCTCACATATTTTTTAGCGATTACACATTTAGGTAAAGAGTAAGCTGATCAGTTCTTATCAGAAGTCATTACGAGCGGATACTATTGGTTAACGGATTGTTTTGGAAGTTGTTAACGAATATCAGCTTACTGATTCTCTCGGTGTTTTGGTGATTTTAATAAGGAATTGGATAAATCAAAATGTCTTTCTCTTACTATATATTAACATCTTTCTTGTGTTCATACTTCGAGGTAGTCAAGTCTTAAGCAAGTGTCCAAATACTTTTGTAACCCACTATAGTTGACCACATAGGTATTTCACCATGTCTTTTGATCGACCCATCTTTCTTGCGCATTACGCATCAATGATCGCCGAAGATAGACAGAGAAGATGGTTCGTGCGCTATGAACGGGTCGTAACGCATGCATGATTCATGATGAACACGAGCTTGTTGAAATTTTGTACCGTTAGGAACGAGTTACAGGTTTCCTCGCGATACTTCACGTTACGATCCTTTAGATTCAATATATTCCTCAATGTTTGTTCACTGTTTACGTGGGAAACGCTCTGTATAATCGTGTTTCCATCTGAATAAAAGTCGATACTAATTATGTCTAAAACATCTGTTTTTTCACAACCCTAGACGCAACGAAAAAACTTGTCATATCTTCAGCACATGTTATAATTTTCGTCAATTTTTTATTTAAAGCAACAAAACTCAAGGTTGAAAATAATCGAGGAATTGCCGTCGTAAATGACGCACGTGACACAACTGAAAATTTTCGGTACAAGAACGATTAATTATTAAAAGTTTATTAAGTGTACCATTGCATCCAATATGAAACTTACATTATATTCCGGTAAAAACATGATTTTTCACTTTTTAATAAAATTTTTAACTATCTTTTGTCGATATTTCGATTGTTTTATTAACCTTTTGCCATTATTGATGTATTTCTGTTAAACTTTTATTAAGCCGGCACCGGTAGTTGGAGGAATCTTTTATTTTCAGAACAGACAGAGTTCGTTTCGATCTTTGGTATTTTTAGTTCAATTTTTGGAATATGTATTTTTGTTGATGTAAAAATAAATATTCAAGTTTCAACATTTGTGAGTTAATCAAATGTAAATGTATACGTATAT